GGGCTAATCAATTGAAATGGAGCTTTTTACCCTCCTGCTCTGTACCTTGACTCATGAAATAAAATGGAGTTTTATATCCAATGAAATGGGGTTTTATATCTAATGAAATGGGGTTTTATATCCAATGAAATGGGGTTTTATATCTAATGAAATGAGTTTTATATCTAATGAAATGGAGTTTTATATCTAATGAAATGGAGTTTTATATCTAATGAAATGGAGTTTTATATCTAATGAAATGGGGTTTTACATCTTATGAAATTGGGTTTTATATTTAATGAAATGGAGTTTTATATCTTATGAAGTAAATGGAGTTTTATATCTAATAAAATGGGGTTTTATATCTAATGAAATGGGGTTTTATATCTAATGAAATGGGGTTTTATATCTAATGAAATGGGGTTTTATATCTAATGAAATGGGGTTTTATATCCAATGAAATGGGGTTTTATATCGAATGAAATGGGGTTTTATATCTGATGAAATGGGGTTTTATATCTAATGAAATGAGTTTTATATCTAATGAAATGGAGTTTTATATCTAATGAAATGGGGTTTTATATCTAATGAAATGGAGTTTTATATCTAATGAAATGGGGTTTTATATCTAATGAAATGGGGTTTTATATCTAATGAAATGAGTTTTATATCTATTGAAATGGAATGGAGTTTTTTAGGAACTAAGTGTCTGTCTAAAAAATATTAAAACAGAACCTAAAAAAACATGTTGTTACTCGAAGTTTCATGCTATAAACGTTGAATATAATAAGTAACCAGGGTTGTCATCAAGTTTTGGTAAAATGAATCCATTTTCGATAGAAGAAGTTGTTATTTAATCCATATTCAATTCTTTAAGAACACAAGTTATATTACATACTACGTTTCGAAACACATACAGGTTATGTTATCAAGTAAAACATTACCTGTATGTGTTTCTAAACATAGTATGTAATAAACCTAGAAGTAGTATATCTATATATCTTGTGTTTTTAATGTTACCTGTATGTGTTTCTAAACATAGTATGTAATAAACCTAGAAGTAGTATATCTATATATCTTGTGTTCTGAATGTTACCTGTATGTGTTTCTAAACATAGTATGTAATAAACCTAGAAGTAGTATATCTATATAACTTGTGTTTTTAATGTTACCTGTATGTGTTTCTAAACATAGTATGTAATAAACCTAGAAGTAGTATATCTATATATCTTGTGTTTTTAACGTTACCTGTATGTGTTTCTAAACGTAGTATGTAATAAACCTAGAAGTAGTATATCTATATATCTTGTGTTCTGAATGTTTACCTTCCTGCTTCTATATGTCTTACAAAGATTACATATTCAATTCATATATACATAATATCATATATATATATTTATATGTTTGTAGCCGTAGGTCCTGAGGAAGAAGATGAGATCTATGAAACATTGATTAATAAAACCAACATGGTGTATAAATTAGTAGATAACTCACTCTTACCTTACCAAGAATACTGGGGAGCCATCTTGAAATATGATATGTTACATCCTGAATTAGTGAGTCTTAGTAATTTTTATATACCATTGCTGTCCGTCTGTGAAGCCACCGTTCAAATTTAGTTTGCGATATCAGCATCCGCTGGAAGCGAACGTAAACTTGTCATTTACCAACCAACCGTTCAAATTTAGTTTGCGATATCAGCATCCGCTGGAAGCGAACGTAAACTTGTCATCTACCAACCAACCGTTCAAATTTAGTTTGCAATATCAGCATCCGCTGGAAGCGAACGTAAACTTGTCATCTACCAACCAACCGTTCAAATTTCGGTATGATTGAATCAATAAATATTTATTATAGACCTTGATACACCAAAAATATGTTTTGGGAACTTCTTATTTGATTATTATTGATGTAATTGTCTCAACAAGGGGCACCTGCTGAATCAGATATCGAATATTGAATATTGACAATATGATTTTTTGTGACTAGGACAATAGTGTTCAGACCAGCTTCTCAAATATCAGATTTTACCCTCTCTTATTTTGAAGTTTTTCTGTTGAGAATTTGAAAGAGTCTATTGATATTTATCATATTAATTAAGACACTAATCAGCACATAATTAACAAAATAATTAACAATCTCCAAATCCCTCCAAAAATGATGAGAACACTGCATTCATACTTCATTTTTGATCTTTAGTCTCCCTCACACCATAGCGACCACCAGGTTCATTAGTTTGGAACGCAACTCTTATGCAGTGATTAGTGAGTTTTCCACTTTCATTATTTGCAATCACATGCAACTGGTAATCACTATAGTGTGAGGAGACTTTTGTCGCCAACTAGAGTCTTGTCTAGAGATTCTCCGACTGACACTGGCTCACAAGGAGACAAAAATCTCCAGTCGGTCATTTTCCACAATGTCGATAACCCCATGCAGAGTATGATAATAAAATCTGACAATAAAACTATCGGAGACAAGTATCAAACTTGTTTGATATTATAAATCATGTTGGCGATGCGATAATCTTGTCATGGAAGCGCAGGCACATGTGAGGTTTTACTCAAGAATCTAATTATTGGCAACAAAAATATCTGCCAGCACCATGAGTTTAATCAATGTGTTTGAGTTTCTGATATTATTTTGTAGACATTTGGCATTTATTTCAAATTGGGTAGCAATTTAAAATGTTCCAGTAGTAAACCTTGAAATATATAATTATATTTGACTCACAGATCGTTGTTATGAATTTTAATTTTGGCTAATCAAAGGAAATATTGGATTGTAAACTTCGATGCGATACCACTTAATTTAAATCCTGAAGTGGTCTTTGATTAATTGTTTATTAATGTTTAATGTTTTTTGTAGACATTAGTATTTGATTTTGGCTCTGAGTTGTATCTGTGGTTAGGAAAGAAAGTTTCTCCTGAGGAACGTAAAGTGGGGAGAATTTTAAGTCAACAATTATGGGAGAAAGGATATGATTATAGCAGCTGTGATATTAACCCTTTGTGTCCGTTACACAGTAAGTTTTAACCCTTTGTGTCCGTTACACAGTAAGTTTTAACCCTTTGTGTCCGTTACACAGTAAGTTTTAACCCTTTGTGTCCGTTACACAGTAAGTTTTAACCCTTTGTGTCCGTTACACAGTAAGTTTTAACCCTTTGTGTCCGTTACACAGTAAGTTTTAACCCTTTGTGTCCATTACACAGTAAGTTTTAAATACAGACACTATTATTGAGGTAGTCTCTATTATATTATAATTCAGATTAGTATAAGATTACCCAAGAACTCTGTCTTTATCGGTTCTGGGAGGAATCTTTTCCTTTTCTTGACGTGTATCAGTATGTTCCATGTGCATCCTGGTGATCCTGATAACAGCACGCCAGTCAGCACTAATTCAGCTGTCTTCTACCAGTAGGGGGAGTTAGTCATCACTTCCTCTGTCATCTTATATTATAATTTTAATGAATTGTGTTTAACCACCAATAATTTTAATTCTGAATTGTTAAAACTTGATTTTCTTGATTCAATTAGAAAATGTAATTTGTTCTGTTATAGCTGAAGACACTGGAGGTGTTCCAATCAAAAGTACCACTCGTCCAGATTGGGCCTTATTTGGTAAAGTTCATCAAGGCATGGAAACCATCCTATTTAAAGAGAAGTTTTTCGATTGGCCTGATAGTGCTAGAATAATCAAGGTCAAGGGTCAAGATGCAGACACAGAAAAGGTAAACTAAATTTTAAATTAATTAAATAGATAGATTTTAAGTACCTAGTACTGATGGTTTGTTGGTCATCTGGAACTGATTAGTACCAAGAACAAGTTAACATAGCTGACATAGATTCTTAAAGAGGCTTGTTTAGAGATACCAGAATACAGTTCTCATCTATATTTGGTACATATCGTCAGCCTGCTAGGATGATTGCCTACCTAATAATTTTGATAAAATTTGATTTTTTGCCCAAGTTATTACCCATAGCACAATGTATTATTATGCTGTAAGATTGTTTCAATTCAGTTACCAATGAGTGATTTAGACATTTATCATAGTAGGCTGATCATTCTGAAACATGTTTTTACTCAGAGTTTCACACTGTGCAATCTTCAGACATCTGTAGAAATATAAAGCAATATCAAAACTAGGGCTGCAACTATTCCTAAAGTGGCGATCCGATATACTTAACGATACTCGTTCAACAATACGATTTATTGCGATAATAAATCACGATTCTTTGATTAAAAGGGAAAGAAAAAGAAAACTGATAATTAATAACATTTTAACACAGTTCAAATTATTTTGGCAAGCTTAGAAGTACAAAATTCACTTTTCATCATTTGTTACATACAAGGACTAACAAATTTCTTCAAAATATTAAATAAAATACCAAACCATTGGCAAATATCTTAATTGGGAATTGTCGTCGTAATAAACGGGAAAACCTAATGACTTCCAAACTTTAATTGATGACGTTGTCGGTAGAGATGATTCCGGGCTAATAATTCATAAAATATTTCAGTGTTCAAATGTTTCGACAATAAGGTATTCCACGATATTCTGCTATTTCCGGATGGCATTCGAAACCACGATATTGAGAACAAGAAAAAACTAGAGCCACTCGTGGCACAGAGTGGGACTTTGCAAATGTAGCAAATTGCAAAAGACCCCGAAAAAATCATCCTTCCATGATAATTAGATCAATCGCAAAAACAGTCTAAAGTTGAGAAATTTTCATTTTTTAGAAGATTCTAATACCGGAAGTAGACGTCAGACCTCACAAATGAAAGTATCAGCAGATAGCCAAGGTCAATGACCTTTGATCTTGTA